CTGAATCTAATTTGGCTGCTCTTCATATACTTAGAATCCCAGCACTGTATGTTACGTATGAAACGGTAGGTTAATTAGCATATATATTTTCACAAATACTGTACACTAACAGGGCCACATATTTAGTGGAAATATAAGATAATCTTCATGCTGCCTTCAGAGTGTCTACTAGGACTTCAATTTTAAGAGGACAGAAAATTAATACTCTATAGTGACCTAAGGAATGCTTATGTTAAAAGAAAACCCCATAGTCTAGAGTTCATAAAATGATCCCAAGCTTAAAAACTCTTAAAAATCAGGAAGGGAAGAGAGAGGAGAGAAACATCAATGTAGGCTTTATCTCACCCTACTTTTCTTCCCCTCCTCATCCACTGAGCTATACCAGCCAGGGCTCCAAGCTTAAAAACTCTTTTAAAGGAGTGATCTGTCAGTAATTAAAACTTAAATGGCATACATGTGAATGTAAATATGATTCAAGTATACACACATTTGTATGTGTATAATCACTCTCGTCCTTTTGTTTCATTTTATTATATTAAGAGCTACCACTCATCAAGTACAATTACAAGTAAAGCCTCAATAATGTGTCCTTAATGTATTATGCTGGTGAAGCAGAGATTGTCACCCAAACTGAATGGATGAGGAAACTGAAACTCAGAAGCGTTAAGGATGGTATTGTCCCCAAAGTACCTGAGCATGGTTTCAAACCTTTACTTGTCTAAATTCAGAAATTCCATAATTTTCTTGTCTTAATTCAGGCTCTTCAATTTTTCTTTGATTTTTTAAATTAAAATATAGTATTTATCCAACTGTTATAATTGCTCATGGACACCATGTGCCCATTCTAAGGAATTATCTATCATGCAAGAGAAGCCCAGGGCTAAATAAGCCTCCAGGGTTAGAAGAACAGAAAGAGTTCTGTTTTAAGTGTTCTCATGAGCTAGAGCTAGAACTAGAGCTAGAGCTAGAGCTAGAGCTAGAACTAGAGCTAGAGCTAGAGCTAGAACTAGAGCTAAAAAGAGAAAGAGAGAGAGAAGGGGAGAGAGCATGGCAGCTGTGTGATGGATACTGTAATTAGCTTGACTGTTGTGATCGAATTAGCTTGACTTTTGTGTACCTTAAGTACTTACAATTTGTTAATTATACCTTAATAAAGTTGAAAAGGAAAAGAAAAAAGAAAGGAATGAAGGCCACTGTGGCCAGGGTGTCCTTTATAAAGAGAGGCATTTAGAGAGGTTGCAGAGATGAGATTGTGTAAGGTCAAGGTTTGCATTTTATTCTAAGTGAGATAAGGAGCCATTGGAATGTGTTGGCCAGAGAAATGTGATCTAATCTAATTTATTAAATAGTTGCACTGTCTGTTTAAGAATGGACAAGACTGAAACTAGAGAGGCCAGTTTGGAGGTCATTGCCATATAATAGATATTAATGAGTTGGCAGTGGATCTGAGATAGAAAATAGATAAATGAGAACTGTATTTGGAAGCAGATTTAACAGGACTTGCTGGTAATAGTATCAAAGTGGATAAAATAAATTTTGTTAAGTTTTACTAATTATCTCTGATATTTAAAGCCCTGGTTTTACTGAACTGAGGTGATTATTAACGTTCAGGTAAGTAAAAAATGAGAAAATGTTAAAGGGACTTATCTAAGAAAAAGTTAAAGAAACATGAACAGTGAAAGGACAACAAACTCACAGTTATTAACAACCACACCTAAAACAAAAGCAAACTAAAAGGACAGCTAGATCAGGAGTGGAAACATAGAAATGAAGATCTCAAGGAGGGTTAGCAACAGGGGAGTGGGAGGAGGAGAAGGGGGGAGAAGGTACAGAAAATAAGTAGCATAGACAGTAGATAGAAAATAGATGGGGGGGCAAGAATAGCATGGGAAATATAGAATCTAAAGGACTTGAGACACATGATCATAAACTAAAGGGGGGGTAATGGTGGGGATGGGGGGATAGGGTGGAGGGGAATGAAAGGGGGAATAGAACAACTGTAACAGCATAATCAATAAAAAAATTAAAAAAAAAGAGAAGCGTTTTAAAAATAAGAGACACCTTAGCATTTATAAAAGGTGGTAAACAATGTCAGAGTTTCCATTCTGGCCATGGTGGCATTACTGGTACTGCTCTTATTCTCTTCACATTAACAACTAGCTCATTGGTCACATGTCTCTGATTCTCACTGACAAAGCTTTAGAAGACAGGCTTTAATGATTCAAGGAGATCCATAAGTAACTCTGTCAAAACAAAGTCCAAAACTCTTTAAAGGAGGACCAAAACTTCTCAAATTTAAGTAATAAGTTGAAAAGACTAGACACCTTGGGAACCAAAAATATTATCCATAACCAGGAAAGAGAATGAAGGATAAAGGATGGGTAGGTTTCCCAGACGACCGGAGGAAAAGCAGCCCTGAGCAGAGTGAGTTAGCTCTTCAATTCTACCAAGAGTAAAATATACACCATAGGTCACAATTAGGGACAGTTGGTAGCCATTGAATGAGAGAGTTTCTGTGTTGTGGGTTCTGTATTTTTCTATGAATTAGGCCTTTGCTGACAGTGACTTGAATAATACTAAGGAATGTGGAGAAAGAATAGACTGGAGAATATAACAGTATTGCCAGGGAATGTCAACATTTTACTCAGAGCCCAGGAACACGAGGGCACTAATCTGCAGATGTTGGGGTCTCCCAGGTGAGGACAAGGAAAGTGGGTGGTTGCTCCAGAGTCGGGACAGGGAGGCACAGATAGGAAGGGGCATCTCATCCACACTGAAGTCACCCAGATTCCATGCAGAGCTTGGGGTGGAAAGGAGTTGTGCTAGCCTGTAAGAAAGTTTTAAATGCTTATAAGGGCAAACAAAGGAAGAATAGAAAATAGAGTTAAGGGACCAATCCAAATTGGAACAAATGTAAGAAATACATAAGTAGTAAGAATCTAAATGAGTTAAATATTAAGAATCATTTAACTATTTAAAATATTGAGATGATGAACAAGAAAAAAGCTTCCCCCTGAATTATCAGAACATTCTTATATGCTTTTCTTGGCACATGTCACATCAACCCTCTTTCCTTTATAAATGAAAGTTTTAAAAACACAACATGAATATTGTTATATTTCTAACATTTTTGCAAGTAAATTAGAAGCAGGTACTAAAACTTTATTAGTTTAATGCAATCATGTGTACCATTGCCTTACATGTCTTTTTATGTAAATGACTGATTTTCCACATGTCCCAGGGGCGCTGAGAAAACTCAAACTTGACAATTCATTACTTTCGTAAATAGACTTATGAAACTCAATAATGATCTTAAACAGTAACATTATAATGTGTAATATTATATAAACATATCTATAATTCTTGAAATATAGCTTCCAATAAGGTATTACTTAGTCAATTATTTGAACAAATAAATGAAGAAAATATATAAGTATTTTGCTGAGTTTGATATTTGAAAGTTTTCATTTTGTTTTGTTTTCCTTCAATCTGACAGATTTATTTTTTCACATTTACTTAACCTAAGATCTAAACCTTACATCAATATTTAAACATTTGTTAAGTATATTTTTTCAGCAAAAGGTTATCTGCTACCAAATGTTAACATTGTCATATGTTCAAGTTCATGAATCCCTGTAGACAATGTTTTACATTTCTGCATTATTAATTTGACAATAGGAATATCATTTGGCTAAGGGCTTCACTAATGCAAAGCAAACTTTTAGCTTCATACTATTTTAATATTAACAAAATTATATGCATTATATTGTCCACATTTCACCAGTAAAATAGATGCAACAAGATGTGAAAATATAATTATACAAACAAAGCGGTCATGACATTGAAAAAAATGAATCTTTGGGGAATCACAGGTGTTAATGTGACAGAAATGACTGAATAGGAGACCTATGCAATGGAAAAAAATGAGTGTTTTGTAAGGTTTTGTAAGTGCCAAATGTTACTAACTGTAATGAGGATGTAATTAAAGTTAAAACAGTTTTCAAAACAAGATTTCATAGACATTTAAGTAAATAACTCAACTATCGAATTTAACAACCGATGACTTTCAGGGAAAAAAGAATTAGTTCTACTCCATTCTATTCAAAAACTATATTTTGCATCTATTCTGTGCCCAGCACTGTGCTAGATATAGAAAAGATAAAGGTGAGACTCAGTGTCAAGTACAAAACAAATATAGCTACAAAAATGCATGCACTAAGTTTAAATCATTTTTAAAACTACGCTCATACACAAATAATTTTTAAATTAATTTTGACTTATAAACTAAAGTCAAACAATGAGAAAAAATTATTTATTAATAATTTTATGAAGGTGGTCAAACCTACTTCCACATTCCCCCCCAAATCTAAATCAGACCCTGAATTATCTGCATTACTTTTCAACCGACATCCGAGTCACTGTTTGGTATGTGTTTCACAAACAATTATGATCTTGCTGTTTGTTGTGCCTGCTGCAACAGTACCTTGCACGTAGTGGAAAATACATAAATATTGGCAAGCAAATAAAAGAAACAATTAACAAATACTGAATAATAAAAGAGTTCTCCTGAGATCTTGCTAAAGTGATACAAAATGATTTCATTTTCTAAATGGAAGGCAAATTAAAATGATCTCAGATAAAAAGTAATTACTTAGAGCCCTGGCGTGTATGAATGAATCTGATCATTTTTCTTTTCATGAAACATAATTTAGCATATCTGCACATGAATAGCAGAGGAAAAATTAAATCAATGTATTTCAAATGGAAAATTCTGAAAGAATTCACAACCGAAGTAATCTCGCTAGTTAAAAAAAAAAAAACATGTCTTTTGCAATTAGTAAAATGTTCAATATATTGCAGAAGAGAGAGTGTCATCCGACCCAAAGTTTCCCTCTCTGACTGGCACATAGCCATTCTGTCGCTCACTCAGTGTGAGTCCTGAACGGGGGATTAGAAACATTAGCAGGAGCCTTCCACTCACCACCAACTCGTCTACTTACCTAAATTATGATTCACTGTTTATGCAAACGTGGTTTGGTTGCAATCTTGATTAATTCAGTTTCCATTCTTTGAACAGTATGCAATATGACCACATTACCTACTGATTTAAAATGCTTCTAGAATCCTCCAGTCCCTCATGATGAAACCAATACTCAACAAAGTTTATATGGCCCTGCGATCTCTACCTTTCCACCCTTTGGACTCAACTCTGGACCCTCCCTGCCTGTTTTCAGAACAGCCCTGCTGCTCCTTTTTTAGTGCCTTCAAATGCCTCAGCTTGCTCTTAACTCTGAGCCTCAGTGGTTCAGGTCCATCTACGTAGAAAGCTCTTTTCCTCACTCTCCGCCTGGACAATTTCTTCTTGTTCTTTGAGTGTCATTTTATATTTTAGTCCCCTGAGGAAAAAGTGACCATATCCTAAATTGGTAGATAGGTTACTGTGTTTATCTTATGGAATCTGTGACATTAAGCAACTTCCTAATCTTTAGACTTCATTCATTCTTTTGGTTATTCACTAATCATTCAACAAATGTTGAATAATCATCTATTACAAGTCAAGCATTCTGCTAGACATGGGAAATGCAATAGTAAGACAAAATCCCTTCCATCTGAGGCTTACACTCTTGCAATTAATATAGGCAATGGAGACATAAAGATGCAAAATCATTACAGAAAGTGATAAATACTATTGGGAAAATCAGTCATGAGTCAGAGATAATGCCTGTTGAAGAAAGTTTCTTTGGTGCTGGGTCCTAAAGAATGAAAAAGAAAAGCCATGTCAAATTCGGGAGAGAGAGAGAGTATTCTAGTTAGAGGCAATACAAGTGCAGGGCCCTAAGGTTAGGATGAGTTTGGCTGATCCATGAGACAAAGTAGGGAGTAGTGTGCCTGGAAACTAGTGGAAAAAAGCATCATGGATAGTAACAATGGAGCAAATTCTGCAGCATATTGAAATTAGGATTTGATTATAAGCCCTAAAGTGAGCCTCTGGAGGATTTGGAGCAGAGGAGGACAATGATCTTATTTCGAAAAATTACACTGTTACTAGTGAAATGTAGGAGGTTAGAGGAGAGAGAATGGAAGCAGAAACGTGAGTGGAGAGATGGAGTGACTTAGGGTTTAGAGGGATCATTGGTAGGATTCAGGATCTAACTTGGGAAACTAAAGTCCTGGAGCCCTCTGATAGTTGAAAAGCAGAAGGTGAAAGAAAAAGAGAAATCAGAAAACAATCAATTCTATTATTTTATTACAAGAAAAATGAAAAGAGAACACCTTTAGGTTACATCATGGCTCCTTGGCCTCACTGACGTCTGATCTGGCTCATTCGTTGTTGTGGGGAGGGTCCTGTGCTTTGCAGAATGTTTAGCAGCATCCCGGCCCCAATCCATTAGATGCTAATAGCAAGCCTTGGTTTTTACAACTAGCGATATCTGAGAATATTTTAAGATGTGTCATTCATCAGCTAATATTTATTTTATTATTTAGGGCAAGAAATCTGTAGTAGATAGCCTTATGGTAAATCCTGCTTATGCCATTTGCTAGCTGGGGTATACATAATTGATGACCATTTTTAGCTTTCTTCCTTTTCTTATTCACATAAATTTCTTATATTTCATGGTTTATTAGCCCCCAAATGTGTCCCCTAGTCCAATCCCACCCATCTCTTTTCTTCTATTACCTCCATCTCATCTTCAGTCTGCAACATAAAATTCAAAAAGAAGCATAGGATAGGTAAGGTGAAAAACCAAACCAGACAGGGAAGGCTAGCAACTCCTGATGGTCAAATGGCAAAAATGTATGTGATGATAACAAACTGATATACTTTTTCTGGTCTCAGAGTAGCCAATTTGCCATACTGTTTTCTGCTTTTCTAAAGTCATCTGATGTTTTACATTTACCTCTTGTTGGTCAGAGCAAGGGTCAATTGGTACATATGTGTACTATGGCCCCAAGATTTTCTTTTGTCTTGTTCCAGTCTCTTGACCAGACTCCACTGCTCTTCACCAGCCTCAGAGTAATTAGCAAATGTGATCATTTCAGATTACATTTGTAATTCTTTCATGATTTATGGGCTATCCAGTGTTAATGCAGCTAAACTACTAATATAAGCACACTTAAATTATATTAATATTTAACATAATTAAACTCTTATTCAATCACCATTTCTTCAACTAAATAGCCATGTTGTCCCCTTGTGCATATGCTCATCTCCGTCTTCTTACCATTATACTTGTATTCTCTTCCTCATCGAAACCCTCCTCCTCTCCTGTCTATAACACAGTTTTATTCATGTTTAATGCTAATTTCAAGTGTTTCCAATGAAGCCTTCCTAGTCTTTTAACTCATAATAATTCCTCTAGTGTAACAAATGAAGCATTGATAATTTATACTACGCAAGATGTCACTTGACTGGAAATTATTTTGTACGAATTACTAATTATTTCTACTTTGTAAGCCTCATTTCCTCAATAAGATGGTGAGATAGTCAATCAATCAGCAGAGCTTGCTAGAGTTTAACTAAAAAGGATTTATCTTAATCACCACAAATGATAAATGAATTGTCATTTTGATGTCTTTCTTAGAAAAAAATCTGTCCTGTCCCCTAGCATCTAATACTTGAGTGGATACATACTAAGTATCCAATAATTACCTGTTGACTTAATATGGCAAATGTTTAAATAAATTCCTTATGTATTTTAAATTTATTTTTATGATATTTTATTGATTGTGCTATTAGAGTTGTCCTGATTTTTCTCTCTTTGCCCCCCTCCACTAAGTTCCCTCTACTCCCTCAGTCAATCCCCTTACCATTGTTTGTGTACATGGGTTATGTGTGTAAGTTACTCCATTTCCTATACTGTACATTATATCCCTATGGATACTCTGCAACTACCCATCCATACGCCTTAATCCCCTCACCTCCTCACCCATTCTCCCCCTCCCCCTCCCATCTGGCAACCATTTGGTAGCTTCACTTCTTTCTATTGCTGCTTTTAAGAGCATCTCTTTATTTTTAACCTTTAGCCTTTTAATTATAACATGTCTTGGAGTGGGCCTCTTTGCATCCATCATAATTGGGACTCTGTGCTTCCTGGACTTGCATGTCTATTTCTTTCACCAAATTAAGAAAGTTTCTTTTTACTACTTTTTCATACACATTTCCAATTTCTTGCTTTCTTTTCTCCTTCTGGCACCCCTCTGTTGTGAATGTTAGACCTCTTAAAGTTGTCTCAGGGGCTTGCTTATACTATCTCCAATTTTTTTAGATTTTTTTCTTCTTGTCGTTCTGCATGGTTTTTTTTTTTTGCTTCCTTATATTTTAAATCATTGATTTGATTCTCAGCTTTATCGACTTTACTGTTGTTTCCCTATATATTGTTCTTTATTTCAAATAGTGTATCCTTTATTTCTGACTGGGTCCTTTTTATGCTGCTGAAGTCCTTATAAAGTTCCTTGAGCATCCTTATAAACTGTTTTTAGCTCTGCATCTGATAGATTGCTTATCTCCATTTCATTTAGCTCTTTTTCTGGAGTTTTGATCTGTTCTTTCATTTGGGCCATGTTTCTTTGTCTCCTCTTTTTGGCAGCCCCCCTATGTTTGTTTCTATGTACTACATAGATGCGCTCTGACACCGTGTCTTGGTAGTATGGCCTAATGTAGTAGGAGTCCTGTATGTAGGTCCAGTGGCACAGACTCCCCTCTCACCCAAGCAGGGCACTTGAGGTATGCCTTTCATATGGTCTGAGTACACCCTCTTGTAGTTGAGCTTTGGTTGTTGTTTGCAGATCAATGGGAGGGATTTACCCAGGCGTGCAGCTGCAGGGATTGGCTGTGACCACTTAGCACCAACCTCTGCTACCCGTGGGGGATCAGCTGTGCAGGGGCAGGGTGGTGGTGCTCCAACAGGGTTTGTAGCTGTCCACTGGGTGTGTACAGCTTCCATTTCCTGGGTGGTACAGGCCAAAATCAGCCCCCACCTGTGTTTTTCCCAGAGCACCATGCCTGAGCTATAAAGCAATCAGATGAATGCTACTTGTGCTGCGCTTGGAGATTCCCTGGTGAAACCAAACTGTACATCTAATTTGGCTGCCATCTGGCTGCTTCCAGGGCTCACTGAAGCCAGCTGTTGCTTCTTTAATAGGATTTAGGAGCCAGGACCAGCCATTCTTATGGAGCAGCAGCTTGGGTGGGCCCATAAGTTGGGAGGGGCAGAGCCTTCGTGGAGCTCCAAGGAGGGTCAAACAATGTTAACCAGGTTGATGGAGTCTCAGATATGGCATCAGTTTACCTGCTCTGTGGAGGGAGGGTTTAACAAAATGACAATGGCCTCTACTCAACTTGATGCAAGACACTTCAGTTTCTCCCTATGTACCACTGGTACCTTTAGAACTTCTACCCCAGTGCCAGAGCTCAGAGGGAGTGACTCTGAGTGGGTGAGTCCGTATGTGAGTTCTTTAAGAACTGCTTGGGGATCCAGAATTTTCTTCCACTGATTCAATCCCCACTGGTTTTTGCAGCTTGACGTTCTGGGATCTTATCATCCTGTCACTGGAACCCTGAGATGGGAGGGGGGCACCCTACTGTGCTGCTGGGACTCCTTGTTCACAAAATATCCCTCCTGAATTTTCATCCACCACACATGGGTGAGGGCCAGCCTGTCCTGCTTTTGCTTGCCTCCTACTAGTCTGTGCAGATGTAGTTTCTTTAATTCCGTAGTTGTCAGACTTCCATTCAATTCAATTCCTGACTGTTCTGACTGATGGTTGTTTTATATTTTATTTTATCTCATTTTTTTAAAGACTTTTAGACAGAGGGGAATGGAGGGAGAAAGAAAGGGAGAAAAACATTAATGCGTGGTTGCCTCTCACGCATTCTCTATTGTGAACCTGTACTTTGCAACCCAGGCATGTGCCCTAACTGGGAATCAAACCAATAACCTCTTGGTTCACAGACTTGTGCTCAATCCACTGAGCTACACCAGCCAGAGCTGTTTTATATTTTAGATGTAATTCTGATGTGGTCATATGAAGAGTCTAGTCATGTGTGCTTACACTGCCATCTTGACCAGCAGTCTCTTTTCTATGTATTTTAATAACAAAATAAAATAATACTCCTTAC